TGGGTGGATGGATGGATGGATGGATGGAGTTATTCTAACATGTATCAGTTAAGCAGAGTTCCAGTATTTATTGTGGAATCTGTTTCTTGACCTGGACTATCTTGAAGGACTGACACTGCTTTTTCCATAATTCCTCAGTGAAAAGAGCAAGGATGTGCTATGACCATGTTCTGCATGGTCATTCTCCAGGTTGCATAGGATAAGGAAAATGTGATTGACATAACGTGTATATACTGATTTAATGTTGTCTGGATTGTCATGAAACATTGGATCATAAGGTAACCAAACAGTACAGTAACACACACACACACACACACACACACACACACACACACACACACACCCTAAACAAGGTGAGCCATAAACCAGACTTAGCATATTGTGGAGGTGCAGCTTCTAAATTTGTAACTGAGCTATTCAGCAGAATTGGCTCTGTATGGACTCCAGGTTAGCTGCAGAATTGTCTTAACGGACCTCAGGGTTGAAAGAGATTTAAGTATTGCATATCTTCTTATTTTTGTCTTGCAGCTTAACAGGCTTGAGTTTGAAGATCAAGATGATGAAACCAGAATTCAGTACGAGGGGTTTCGACCGGGCATGTATATCCGGATAGAACTTGAGAACGTCCCGTGTGAACTGGTGCTGCATTTTGATCCACATTATCCAATTGTCCTGGGTGGCCTGGGAAACACTGAAGGAAATGTGGGCTACGTGCAGGTATCATTATGTTCTTTCATGCTTTTTAACCATGATAGAGGTTCTCATATGCTCTCAATGTAGCTCTCTCTGTGGGTAGATATTTTTTTATTCCCGTATGTGTATTTTTGTTTCCTCTTTACCTTCTCTGCAAGAAGGAAATTGGTTACTGTTAAGTTATTGCCAAGAGTTGTGTCTGTTTCCTAGGGACTTAGTTTGAAAGCTCAGTCACACACCACACATTAATCTGAATCAGGGCCAGCTGTGTCTTCCATACTTTAATATGCAATTGAAAACTTTGTACTCAACAAAGGTGAGGTAGGAATGGTTGAAATGGCTTTTGAGATGAAGCTGTTCCTTGGTTTTCTTCAGATGCGGTTGAAGAAGCATCGCTGGTACAAGAAAATCCTCAAAACCCGCGACCCTCTGATTCTGTCTCTAGGCTGGAGGCGGTTCCAGACGATACCTATGTATTACGTAGAAGACCACAACGGTCGTCACAGGCTGCTTAAGTATACACCACAACACATGCACTGTGGAGGAACTTTCTGGGGTAAGAGCCACAACTTTCAGGCTTTGGAGGAGACAGTAGGAATCACTTGGCAAGCTGTTTTATTATAGTAGCAGTAATAATAATTTATTGTTATGGTTAGTTTAAAAAGGGACTTTGTCAAACATTGTGATGCTTTCAATGTTGGTAGGGCTAGGAAGTTCTAAAGTCTGCTACCTCTCTGCAAAAGACACAAGATGGCTCATTCTTAAGACATCACCCTAGTGACATAAGATATAAGAACATTGGTTTAGACAGTTTGCTGATACATATTTAGATGAGAATAACAAGCAGATGGCCCCCCAAAATAAGAGATGTCACTAGCATTAAAGACATACTTTCAAAGTGAGTATTGACTGACAAATGAAATATCTGTAGCACACCCTAATGAGCTACATGAAAGGCAGACAATCACAGCCATTCCACCAAAATAAAAAAAAAAAAAGCTTGGAGAAAAATGATGCTTTGACTTACTACACTGTTAAGAGTTTGTAAATCTTGATTATGTGTTCATTCTTTGGTGGTTGATAAATTGGACCATTTATCTTATCTTTTTGAAATGTGGTCTTCCTCCATACTTGGCTAGGTGATCTTAAAAGGCTAAGTGAGGTCAGTGATTCGGACTTGGAGGGGAGGCCCCTCAGAACTTCCAGGTCTCTAGGCTAGATTGAAAAATCAAAAATCATTCTGGAAAAAGGCAGTAGCAAACGTCATCTAGCCTGTTGCCAAGAAAATTACAAGGAAAAGTTGCTAGGATTTGAGCTCATCTTAGAAGAGACTTCATTGAATTCTGTAGGTGTTCTTAATGTTTAAGATTTATTTTTATCATATCTTAAGGGAAGACACACTTATCATATCTTAAGGGAAGACACACTGTTAAGTTATTTATTGATGATTTCATTCAACGTTACTTTATAGGCCCCATCACTCCACAAGGGACAGGATGTTTGGCAGTCCAGTCTGTGAGTACTACAATGGTAAGTATGTTATGGGCAGTTTCCAGTCACCCTGCAGTGATAGCTTTATTTGCAAAGTGGGCTGTTGAAACCGAATAGCACGAATGTAGATCCACTTGGCAGTTGAAGTTCTAATAAAAGATTCATGGAGGAGATTCTCAATTGAGGAGATTGAGGAGTTGAGGTTGTTTTGCTAAACTCTGGTACAAACTGATTTCTTATGCCTTTAAAGCTATTTTTTCTCTCAAAGTTTCTTTGGACCACACAGGAAAGGTAAACTAAATCAGAGGCTATGGACTTTGCCCTGAACCAGTCAGAAATTGAGACAAGTGCTCTTCCCATAAAAAGAACTTTATACATCATAAATGGATGTTCATTGTTTTATTTCAGGCTGATTTTCGGATAGCTGCTACTGGAGTTGTGCTTGACTTGGATAAGTCTTTAAGAATTGTGAAGAAATTAAAGTTGGTTGGTTTTCCTTTCAAAATTTTCAAGAATACAGCTTTTATTAAGGTATGGGTTTGAACAATATTTTGCAATTTGGTGTTTGTAGTCATGTGTCTTAAAATCTGCAGATTGGCTATTTTAGAAAAATGTTTCTGGTAGATACATGCAAGGACCTGCCATCCGCGAACAAAATGGTCAGGATATTCCTGCTGGGTTCTATTTCTTCTCTGGATTGCAGTTTCCCACAATGCTCTGTTCCCAGAATGATCGATCCCCCCCCTCCCAAAACCCCCCCAAAAACCATATGAAGGAGAAACAGAACATCCCAGAGTGCTCCAGAACAGTAGGCTTTGCATATCCTTGTTTTCTATTCAGTGGTACCTCGGGATACGAACTTAATCCGTTCCGTGACTCTGGTTGCAACTCAAGTTGGTCGCAACCCGAGGCAAATTTCCCCATAGGGTTCAATGTAAATCCCGTTAATCCGTTCCGCCCTCCG